AAGCACTTTTTTCTGAAACCATGGATGTAACACAGGGAAATTGTTTCTGAAGTGTTTTTACTTTGATGTTTCTCAGGAAAAATATACAAAAATATATGAAAATAATATAGCAAGAAATATTTACTTACTGTTATAGGAAAATAACCATGAAGCTGATTATTTTCCTAAAAGAGCACATCCTGAAGTGTTTTATTCCTCTTCTACCACAGCAAATGGTTTACTTTTTTTATTCATCTAAAAAGGACTTTTTATCCATTTATAGTTACACCGAATGTTAATGAAACGAGTTAGCTTGTGTTATCACAGTTATAAACAGTTGTTTCTTTTACCAGCCTCTTTTTTTTCTGTATTTAAGGCAGAAAGTGTAAACTCTGTCCTAAAGACTGTCCCGTGCTGGAAAACGTAAAAGTTCCAGTTTGACGCTGAAAGTGGAGACTCCTTCCATTAATGTTAAATACACATGTCCTTAAAGAAACCTTCACCCTAACAATGCTTCTACAATTTTTGTTGTTGTTTAATAACAACACTTTATCAATCAACATTTTATCAACCAGTGTGGTGTCATTTTTTTTTTTTAAATAAAGCAATAGGGACGAATCCCCAAGTTCCGAGAGTTACGTCTTTTTTTTTTTTTTTTACGAAAAGTTTTTAAAGGTCTCAAAACATTATGCACAAGCACCACTTCAGTTTACAATGTGCATCATAACACCATCATTTCACCTTCAGAAGGCCATGACTCCCTCAAAATGTTTAACTTGCTTCAAATTTTAATAAATTCATCAACCAATGAAACTCATTTTCACCTTAATGTCATCTTAAATATTGTTCGGTGTTATTGTTATATATGCTGAAAGAAATGTCTGGTTAACTGGTAACCTTGAAAGTTCTGAGGAAAAAAAAAAGCTGTACAAATTCTGAATTTCTTAAGCACATTGATTTAAAGTCATTGTGCATTTTGTACCCTACACCATTGTAGTAATTTATTATATAGTCTGTCAGTTGAAAGCTTTATTGCTTCCTGTATTGATTGATTAAAGTGTGTAAGGAAACAGCAGTATGCAACATCACCAATAATCTGTGACATGATAAGACACTGACGTGTTTTTTTTTTTTTTTGGCTCCAAAGCCTCCTCGCTGCTCCTTTCCAAAGGGCTCTTTTAAATCAATCGAGAAATCCTGCTCACTGAAAAAAATAAATCTGTGTTGAACTAATTAATTAGCTTGCTGGCGTCCGTGTGTTGTGACCCAGTGTTCCATCTTAACCGATGGTTTTAAAAGCACTCCGGCTCTTGGCTGAAATAGATGAAGTGTTTTGTTTGGATGTTAAAAATTCAATACTCGTGTACAAGCTAAAACAGCAAAACAACTCTGACTAATGCATTAGCGCCTGCGCTCGCAAAATTCATAAATCATCACTGTGAAGCAGGACGATTGAGAGCTAGTGAGCAGGAGGATGTGGGTTCAAATCCCAGAACGGCCAAAGAGCCACTCTTAGATCCTCTGATTGTATCATTTCAACATTTTCTAAATCAGTTGTATTTATTCCTCTTGTGCCACAGAAATGTGCCAACAATTCCATTTTTTTTAATATAAAAAAAAAACTACACAGCATACTTTTTATCCGTTTATAGTTGTAGTTGTTAATGTTGTAGACTGTTTGCGAAACAAGGTAGATCCTGTTCTTATTTCTCTTGCTCTCTCACTAGCCTCTCTCTCTCTCTTTCTCTCTCTCTCTCTCTGTCTTTTTTTTCCCTCTCTCTCTCTTGGGATTAATAAGGCAAAGAGAAATGGTTACAGAGAAACCGCAAAGCATAAACTCCTCTGTCCTGAAGACTTCACTATATCATATATGTCACTGTATATTGATTGATTACACACATTTTTTTTCTTTTGCAAGAAGAGAAGGAAATACATAAAGAAGGAGAGTGTATGCAAACATGCAAGCAAGAAAGAATGGATGAAAGTAAAAGGAAAGAATGAAAGCAAGAATGAAAGACCCAAAGCATGAACAAAGGCCAGAAAGAATGAATGAAAGTAGGCAAAAAAGACTGAAAGCAAGAAAGAAAGAATGAAAGCAGACAAAAAAGAATAAAAGCAAGGAAGAAACAGTGAAAGCTAGAAAGAATGAAAGCATGAACTAAAGATGAAAGCAAGCAAGAAAGAACAAAAGAAGAAGTGAAGGCATGAAAGACTACCAGCAAGGAAGAAAGAAAGAAAGAAAGAAAGAAAGAAAGAAAGAAAGACATAATGAACAAATGCAAGCAACAAAGAACTGAAGCAATAAGGAAAGGAAGAAATAAATAAAAGCAGGAAATGAAGAATGACAACAGGCAAGAAAGAAAGAAAGAAAGAAAGAAAGAAAGAAAGGATCTGTTCATGTGGCACAGCTGCTTCCTTAGTTTTGTTTATTAATCTGGATTGTGATTTGGATTTCTTTGCACTGAATATTGATTTTGGTTTTTGAACTTAGCTCTAATCTTTCAAGCTCCTGCTTCCTGTGTTATGCCGTGGCAGTCTTAAAAAAAAAAAAAAAAAACTTGAAATGTGGATAAATTTTTTTCATCAAGGGCATTTGTGCATTGCACTTTGTGTATTTTGTACAGATTGATTTTTTTTTTAATTGAAATTAGGGACCTTGATGTTCTTTAGAAATGAAAATCCAAGTTACTGATTGTTCCCTTCATTCGTTGTAGAGCTTATTGCCTAAACCGTCCTTGGCTTTTTTCCAGCTAGTTGCATAATTCTGTCAAACAACTTCGATTTGATTCAGTCTTGCTCTGTTTATCTGCCCTCGCAAAACTGCGACAGATTGTCCAACGTTATATTGCTATTGTGATTTCGTAGGAAATATAAACTTCTATTGTATTAAAGGTTTTATCTGGTTAGCAAATTTGCAATATGACATGCTCAGTCTCAGTTTTTTGCTATCACTAAGTAGAAGATAGATAGCCAATACAAGTCTTAGCTAGCTAGCTAGCTATTTATATTTCTCAGACAGTAGGAGAGCGGATAAGCGTTGGATTGCGTGAACAAAAAACAGACCAGCGCACAGCTCTAATCTGATTTCAGACTTATACAGAGCTAGCATCAAAGCCTAGCATCATGTCCCAGGTTAGATTGTGTCTAATTGATGTATTATTGACTCAAAAGTGTCTTTATTTTTGGTCTTATGCACTTGCACGACCATTTACAAAATAGCGAATCACCTCCCCCTCCGCCACACCCAGCTATCGTTGAATGGAAAATGCTGAGTCAGCATGCACTCCAGTTGCGGTCATGCTAACACTGCATTAAAATCGTAACTCTGATCTTCTGACGTCCGGCTAGGAAAACCAAATAACACACCCCCTTAACTTGGAATTTCTACTCGTAAACTTTGGATGGTGTTCTCAATCCGGAGTTCAGCAAGTGATGTCAAATCAACATGGCTGTTCATAGCATCAGAAATAAACGAAGTAACATGTTTACCTTTAAATAAGTTATACTGTATATACAAGTATTTGCTTTAGATCAATCGCCATGCAGACATATTCACTTGTTATATCTATAACACTGACGATCAAGTGTTTTGAGAAGGTAAATATACGTTATTCCTCACAGTTAGATGGTTATCTAGTTGCTAACAAAAGACAAACATGGGGGCATCCATGATTTATTCTCACTTTGTAGGTCGAAAATGACGTAATTCTGAGCTCTTCCGAGGTAACTCGATTGCAAGAAGCAACTCTAACAAGAACTGTTGAAATCTCAGGTCCTATACGTATTGATTCAGATATTTTTGAAAACATAGTTTTTACTTCTCAGTTGTCAGAAAAACAGAGTTTTTCGAAAATTTCCATCCTTACAAATGACATTTCAAAAACGCTCACATGCCCAGTGATATTACAATCAGTTATGTCAAATTCAAAATGTCAAGAAGAATGTTAGGATTAATTGGATAAGCTATGTTTTCGTAGTGGGCGGGGCCTCAAGCTCCTAACACGGGTGCTGGCCGTGTTGTGGGAAGTGAGCTGTCATGCACGATTGCATGCTAGCGTCCAGATCTGACTGGATCTGAGTCCGGCTATTATGCAAACCAGATATGGGTTTTAATCATAGATACGTCACATTGCGGAATAAACACGTGACCAAATTTTTGTTGTCTTTAAAACATAATGCAAGCAGCTAGAGCAGGGGTACTCAGTAGGCCAGGGGGACTCAATAGGCGGACTCCGAGATCTAAATCTTTGTGCTAGTTATCTGACACCTGGCTAAGTGATTGTGTAAGCATATGTGTATAAAAGTTGCCCTTTTAACTAGCGTGTTAAATGTCTGCAACAGAATCATATGAACAAGCAAAAGGATAGCCAGTACTTTAGTACTTCGCTCCCCTTCTGTGCTTAACTGTTGGCATGTGACAACAACATCCAGTCAGAGAAGTGTAACAGCATGCTGTATTTCCACACTCTCTGGTCCTAACATAACAACATTTGACATTTGTCAGGTAGCTAATTTGCTTTGGCGAGTGGCGTTAGCAAATTAGTAAAAGTTGGAAGAGCTACGGAAATGGCCTGTTCCAAATTGTCGGATCCGAAGAAAAGGAAGGTTGACAGTGAAAACCATGTGTTTAAAGATGACTGGACTGACAAGTATGCATTTATTCTCCCTAACGGAAGCACCAAAGCTATGTGCTTAATTTGCAACGATACAGTGGCGATTGCTAAGAGTGGTAACGTTAAGCACCAGTATGAAACAAAGTATTTTGAGCAACATTACTGACAGAACATGGAGGTTAGAACCAAAAAACCTAACCAGATAAGAGAATCATAGCAAGTTGTTGTTTTTCCTCTTTCAGCTGCTCCTGTTAGAGGTCGCCACAGTGGATCATTGGTCCGCATATTTGATTTGGCACAGTTTTTATGCCAGATGCCCTTCTTGACGCAACCCTCCCCAATTTTATCCGGGCTTGGGACCGGCACTGAGAGCGCACTGTTGTACGCAACCCCAGTGGCTGGGGGTGGTTCCCTGGCCGGGATTGAACCCAGGCCACAGGAGTGAGCACACTGTGGCCTAACCACTAGTCCTCCAGGGACCTAGAATCATCTTGAGTAACAAGTTGTATTATAGTTAAAAAAAAAAGAAAAAAAAAAAGAAAGCAACACAACAAAAAAGGGCAATGGAGACCTCATTTAGAATTGCCTGCGTCTTAGGCGTACACAAAAAGCCCTTTTCTGATGCAGAGGTAATGAAAGAATGTATGAGTGAAGTGCTGGAGGCTATGTTTGAACCAACAAAAAAGATAGCAAAAGTAAATCAGATACCCTGTTCAGATTCCACAGTAGCAAGACGAATGGAAATCCTTGCAGATGATTTGCTGAAGCAACTTAGTGATGCTGTCAAAAAGACTGAATGTATCTCACTGGCTGTTGATGAGTCAACAGACAACATGGATAATGCACAACTGATAGTTTTTGTTCGATTTTTTTGATGAGGAGAAGGGGGAGTTTCGTGAAGATGTTTCAGGCCTGACAAACCTCCATGGACACACAAGAGCACGAGGACCTTTATGTAGCAATAATGCAGACGCTGAGTGACAGAGGAATTGACTTGAAACATGTGGTGTCTTTTGCTACTGATGGAGCTCCATCCATGATAGGGAGAGAAAGGGGACTAGTGCAGCGCTTGAAAGATCACCACCCTAACTTAATAGCATGCCACTGCATCATCCATCAAATCGTGTTGTCTGCCAGTCTGGGGGAAATATACTCAGACATCATGAATACTGTGATGAGGCTTGTCAACTACCTGAAAGCATCATCTGCACTGCAGCATCGTTTTTACGTACATTCCTGATAGAGGTAAATGCAGAATTCGATGACGCTCCTCCCCAACAATGTCCGGTGGCTCAGCAAAGGCAGGGTTTTGAAATGATTTTGGAACGATTCATCCCTTCTTGGTGACCTGAATGTGAAGCTCCAAGGCAGAGGTAATACAGTGTGTGATCTCATGACGGCAGTGCGTGCTTTCCAGAGGAAGTTGGACCTATTCAGAGATGATCTACAGTGGGGGGCCCTCTTCACTTCCCAAAGCTTCTGGAACAAACCCAAGGAGGACGTCACCATCAATGTCACTCTAATTTCACTGAAAATTTTAAATCTCGCTTTGAAGACTTCTGCCTGGGAAATCAAGTTCTTCTGTGCATTGAAAACCCCTTTCTGGTGAAAAATGTTACAGGATTTTCAATGGAAGCACTGGAAATCTGTCCATGGGCCAACACTGGAAGCCTACAAACTGAGTTGATTGAGCTCCAAGAAAACCTTGCTCTGCATGAGGTTCACTGTGACCCTGTCACTTTTTGGACAAAAATAGGGACCAGTGCAAATGCCCCTCTCTTCCGTAAGATGGCCCTTCATATTCTCACCATGTTTGCCTCAACATACAATTGTGAATCGGGATTTTCAACAATGAATATGGTGAAAAACTCCCTCTGCAGCAGACTCACCAATGAACACTTACACCATTGTCTCCATCTGGAGCTCACACCTTTTTGTGCCCAAGTTTAAAGACTTGGTTAAAGATAAAAGGTGTCACTGTTCATGTTAAAACAAAACACTTTTTGTGTGTAGTTCCTCAGAACATTTTGGAGTTTTTATTCTTTATATAGTTCTGTACTTGATGGGATATACTTGCTCAATCGTCCTACTGTTTGGACCTTCAGCTCAGTGGAAAATTGGTAAGTGGGCCACAAGGAATTAGATTTGAGTACCCCCGAGCTACAGGAAGTCAGTTTTGTTTGAAGTGAATGTCTCACAATTGTAATGTTGGAAAACTGATTTATGGTCTAACCAATAGGTTAGCCCTAGTGGCAGGTTTAGGAATTACAGCTTATGACAAGTTCCTACGAAATTTTTGATAAGCAGAGAGAAATGGTGGCTTAAATATGGTTGCAAAATTTGCACTTGAATGTATAAAATTAAGTACCAGCACCAAGATGGCACCTTCTATTCTTTCTTTCTGACAGAAAAATCCATGGCGGCTCGACACAGAGCTGATGCAGCTTGCCTTCCCTTTCAGGACGCAGCACAATGGCGAGATAATTGGTTTAATTCAGCTGTCATATAAAGTCAAGGATGACCTTGAGTTGAAGAAGAAAACCCAAAACAGCCTGAATGAAAAACATTATATGATGTGCAGCTTTCATAGCTTAGGTTCGCTAATGTCAGCTTTATGAAGCCAATTTATCAGCTATATGACAGTTTTTCCACTTTCTTCTTTACCATTTTATATATGTAGTATATAAGTTATGTTTCTTTTATTTAAAATTTATGTAAATAGGATACATCTGTGTTTATACAAACCCTATACTCATTTGTACTGAAATTATAAATTTGCAATGGATCCAAACAAGCTGTATGGGATCCAAACCTTTTTTTTTTCTCTCTGCTAATTAGTTTCTTTCCTCAGTAGGCAAAGAGGTCAGATTGCAGCTCTCAGAGTCAACAATTTCAGTAAAAGCGCTCCAGTTTCCCCAACAGACCCGAAGAAATGATTTAGCAGCCGTTCTCTTTGTGCGCAGCATGTAAATGACAGGGACGTGTTGCTACGGTGCGATCAAACTGTCAGTTTGCTGTCAGCTCTAACACAAATACAAAACAGTCCAAATTAGCTCTAATAATTAGCAGTAACTTCACCAGATATATCGAGAACAACAAAACAACAATTGAATTGTTAAAATCCTTATCAAATCATGACTAAATTCCTGTTGTGCTGTTTTTTTTTTAAGTTAATATTGACAATAGGGTTGAAAATCTAATTAGAAAGATTACAGACTTAGTAAAGCTAAGCATGTTTCCCAACATTTTCTCAGAAAACTGTAGCAGAAATAACTTTTCTCTTCCACTTTGATGAGTACATGCTGCTACGGATGACTAATTCAGCTCCTATTCGCAATAAATTGCGTTCGTGATTACCTTCAGCCATGTGAAATGCATATCGTCTTTGCGTAGGCGGTATTCTAGAAATGCGGCCTCTAAAATTAGACTTGCACCTTTAATATGAGCCTGAACACCGAGCTCTGAGAGATGAAGTGAGATTTTACTGCAGTGGGTGGATTCTCTGCGGATTATCCACCAGGCTAAAACATGTCGTGTGTGGTTAGCATTAGCATGTCAATCACTGTGTTTTTTTTTTTTTTTTAACCTTATCTGAATTTGCTGTCTAATACTGTTGTCTCTGCTGAAATGCCAAGAAACATTTCAGCATACGCATCAATCTTGGAAGGATTGATGGTTTATTAAAGCTTTGTAATTAGCAGATGACTTCAAGGCTTATATCCGAGCTTGCGTTGCAGTACTGCTGTTAATAGCCTGTCGACTTCCTCTCATGAAGAAGGGGGTTTGTTGAAGAACACTCGACCTTGGCAGCAAGCATGTGAATTTCTTCTGAAACTTGTACACAGTCAAACTAGCTTGCTAATGAGCTAGCAAAATATTAATGATGATTCATCAGCTTTAAGTTACTGATTGAGTAGGTGGCTATATAAAATTAGGATATAAAAAAATCAAATAATAATTTAAAAGTTTCTAATTACTAACTTCCACCATTTTTTTTTTTTTTTTGCTGTTTTACAAATATAGCTAATATAGCGGTTTTGTTAGGAGGTTATAGAAGATAAAGGTTTCAAATTGTTGTGTATTTAAGCTAGCATTAGCTTACCTGATACCTGACTTATGGCAAAAAAAAAAAATAGCACAGCTATAGTTATCGATATCATGTTGTATGTTTGTTTACACTTCAGGCCTTCAGACTCCATGTTTATTGCTGTAATCTGCTGTTAGCATTAGCATCACTGCATGTTTAATGTTCATAATGTTGATATATTAGTTGTTTTTTTTTTTTTTTAACTCATGACCTTCAGCTCCCGTTGGATCGGACACCATTTCTGATCCTATATTTATTAACGACCTTGTGGAAATGACACGCTCCGAATCAGGCGCCAACGTCCCCCCGAGAGACATGGCCGATTTCCCGAGCATCCCTGAGGAAATCTGACATGACAAATCGCATTTGGCTGGCGCTCAGGCTTAATTGCTGGTGGTATTGTAAGCGCGGCAGATGTGTACGTGTGTGTGCGCCGGCGTGTGTGGGCGTCGCATGCAGATAGATAATTACATAGCCGCGTGTATCTGCGCTCAGTTACTTAGCACAAGTGATCATTTCATCCGGCGTAATAAGATGCGATGATGCAGAATGTTACACGAGGCATCCCACGCTCTCAGTGTGTCTACCTCCGACAGGAATAAATGACAAGTGCAGTGCAGATTGATCACCGGCTGCCATGTCGCCCACGTATCATGACATTTATAATGCATGGCTTCACCTGAGGGGGAGGCAGGAGTGCCAATTACACACCACTCTGCCAGGGCCCCGGGTGCCACCGGGGTAATTACACAAGAGCACGAGACACCGGCGGCGCTGGATCGGACAGAACTCTAATTTGTACACGAGGACAGCGGGGGAGGTCTGAGATTTTATTACGTGGATGTCGAATGTAGTGATTATGTTTGTACTGTAGGGTCCAGAAGTCCACCAAGAACTGGTAAAAACGAAGGAATCTGACATTTTCATGACACTTTCTTGTTTAATTCATCCAGGCAAATTAGACACATGGTAGTACATACTGTACAGGCTTCTAATGCAGTGTTCATTTTTTATTCCTGAGCAAAAAACTCAGACAATTCAACCTTACTGTAATATATGATTAATATGACTGTAAGAGTAAGAAAAGTTTACATATGATGCCAATAGTATGATATATGTGACAAATAACAACAATCCGCCAAATTTGGTGTCCAATGTTTTTGCTTCTTTATATTTTTTCCTGGAACAGGGATAGCAACGGATATCAGTTAATATCAGACAAAATCATGTGTTTGTTAAGACACCAGTGTGTTAGGAGGTGTATCTTAGGATGCACGTTACTATTTGAACCAAACATCATTTCACAACAATGTGAAAAGCTAATACAAATAGTTGTATACTCGTAGATTACATTAAGTTGTATTGAGATAGATTTTAATTTTATACAAGGTG